AGAGAGAGAGAGAGAGAGAGAGAGAGAGAGAGAGAGAGAGAGAGAGAGAGAGAGAGACATGAAACAAAAATAAAACGCCATCAGCGAGTGTTGCTGTGCGCCGTGGCGGGGTCCACTTGTACGCATATAATGCACATACGCTGTATTTGGACACACCGCACTTCACATTTCAATAGACCATGTTTTATCTTTCAAGAGGCCTTAAGTCACCAAAGCATGCCAGCCATCGGCCGCGGGCCCCTTTCGGAGGCCACCAGCCATCGATTTATTTGATCAACGGTGCTCAAGCCTCCACAATTTTAGGAGAGGCTCAATGGGACTCAGAACTTGTCCGGGGCCATGCACCCATTGTACTGGTAAAACAAAAAGAAAAGTAGACAGCATGAGCTTTTTGTTGTTGTTGCTTTTATACTGCATATGCATATACCTTTCTCAGCCTTTTGGCTAACTTGAAGATCAAGTGTAGTATCTGTTCTGATCAGTTTAATATCTGATCCAAAAGGGGGAAAAAAAAAAATATCTAGTCATATCCAGCAGCCTAGCTCAGTTGGTAAGGCACGCAAGTGGCATTCAGGAGGGCTAGGGTTCAATCCCCATTGGCCTCATGTACCTTCCTGGGCATGCTTGGCGCCCGCCACCTAGAGATGTGCCGTTGGCCCCCCAGAGTGGCATTGAGCAGAGACTGCTGAGGCTGATGTTCATGGGTGGGTGGGTGGGGACCAGAGGGGAGGCAGAGTGACTGGCCCATCGAAGAAGCTAAGCTCGGTCCTGATGCTACCGGCTGACTCCTGTCCGGTATCGCCCACCTGCTGTAGCAGGTATCGCACCTTTTGGTGGGTGTGAGCTCCCGCATGTTTCCTCGTTGGAGGCTTGAGCGTGATGTGGTTGCTACGGGGTTCCCCCGCCCAGACTCAATTTGGGCATCTGTCTCACGGTCCACTCATCGGCGACCACCTTTTGTCTGAGTAGAATGCTCCAGCTTGTGGCTTTCTGGTTTGCAGGCATCATGCTCACAGCTGGCACCCTTGTTGACTGTGAGGGGATAAGATGCAAGGCAGGGGTTGTTGTTATGGGGAGTTGGGACCCATTCTGTTGTCCCCTCGGAGGAAAGAGGAATGCAGGTCTGGTTGGGAGGGGGGCTGGGGTTGTGGGAAGGGTCGTTTGGTGTTTGAGCGGGATCGGGGTCGCGGTTTGTGGACAAGGAACATAAAGCATCCCCTTGCTGTCCTGTGTGGGGGCGGGAAGAGGTGTGGGGGCAGGGGTCTCTGTGGCCAAGAGGCTGCATTTTGCAACCACTTTCTCCAGCATCTAAAACTTATTTGCCATTGGAGGGGGCACGGTGTGCGGCGGGCATAATTTTTGACAGTCTTTGCCAGTCAACTTTTTCCAGCCCCTTTTGCGTGTGACATCCTTTTTTCCTCCCCCCTTCACGGCACGCATGGGGCTGCAAGTTTCGGGGGTCGGCCTAGCGTGCAAAAATGTTTCCAGGGAAGGGCTTATCGTGCGCAGGCCAAGCGTCATCCATTGGGCCACGCACCTTTTCACTAAGTCTAGTGGCTCAGGGCAGCCCCGACGGCATCCTTGGGGCGGGGCGGCGTCGCCCGGACCCCGAGCCGCTGTATTTTTTTATGAGAGTCACTAGCATCACATCCACCTACCCAAGACCACCCTTAGTCTTTTCAGACGTCGCATTGCACATGAGAGAGATATTCCATGCAACCTCCACACAAACCAAATCCAAGCTTCAACCATCCGCCCAAGCGCCGGCCTCAACTCAGTCCGCATTAACGGCTTAACCCGGGTCCAAGTCCTTTCCTTAGCCAATCTCCCACCCTAGTCCTCATTCGTGAATCCAACCCGTCCACATCGTCTCATGCTACTCACCTGCGCAAGACCACACAAGACAAATGACCAAGTACAATCCCCATTGGGGTCAACACATCGCCCCTTCCCGCAATCCTTGGTCCCTTTTGCCTTCCTACTCCCCTTACGAGTTCCCTTCCCTTTCCCACAAGCAAGCCATGCAATCGCCTTAGTCATGCAGTCCGGGGGGATGGTTGAGTCAAACTGACCTTGTCGCGAAAACAACACTACTTTTCCGCTTTCTTTGATGTTCACAACAGTCGGGTACCTTCCCTTCTTGGCGGCACGAGGGACCGGCTGCCCTTCCCTTGCCCTCGCTTTCCACCAAGTGAGGATCAAGTTTGTCTCCGTTCGTCCCCTGGCAATGTGACAGGTGAGGGTAGTGGTTAGTCGCATGTTACGGAGGGGACGGGGAAAAGGGATAGTCAAGGGTCAAAAGGGTTTGAGAGGACGAAAGAAGAGGGAGAGAGCGAGCGAGCGAGAGAGAGAGAGAGAGAGAGAGAGAGAGAGAGAGAGAGAGAGAGAGAGAGAGAGAGAGAGAAGGGGAGAGAGAGAGAGAAGGGGAGAAAGAGAAAGAAAGAGAATGATGAAAGGACCAAGGGATTCCACATCCTAATCGACCCCGCTCCTTAGCTCACCCTAATCGACCCCACCTTGAAGTCCCGTACGTTTGCCCCCTTGCGATCCCCTAGGACTTTCATGTCGACGGTCGCGGACAGTGGGGAAGGAAGAAGG